ATTTTTTGTACTAATTTAATGGCAACAAAACTGCATAATTAAAAAAAAGTCTGATTAAAAAGTTGAAAATTTGTATGCAAATTTATTAAACTTTCCTGAATTTTGCACAAAATTTAAGAATTATATTTTTATGTTTTTTATTGTAGTATTAACCATATTTTTACAAAAAAAAGATATAGCGGAAAAATGAAAAATATCAATTGTTGCATATACATACATATTCCTCGGACTAAAACTAGTAAAACTGTCAAAAAATAAAAATTCGCTCAGAGCGAGAGAGTAACATTGAAAAGTACGGGATCGCTTTCTAGTAAAAGATGGTAACTTCTGTCAATTTCAACATAATCTCCAAATTTTGGTTGTAAATTTTTGCTTATTTTGTATGTAAACACACTCAGCTCACACATGTAAATAACCAAAAATACTTTCCAATTTATTAGAATCCACTTAAACATGTAATTAAATACTTTTCAACATGAATTAGCAGAGTGCACTTTTCTTTTGTTTACAATTTGGTTGCCAAACACACTACAGCTGATCGTTTGATACATTTACCAGAATTTACCAGCAAAAAATCTTGACTAAAACTGGTAACTTCTTACAGATAATATTCAACTGAATATCATGAAATATCATTACAAGAATATATAACAGGTTTGTCCCACAAGCTACTTGTAGAAAAACTCGAGCAAAGTTCAAACTGTGAGCGTATATCAAAGAAACTCGAAAACTTACTTGCGGAGCGCGTATATGTAACTCGAAGTGACTTGGGGAATAAACCTAATGAATGGATGCTTTTGAAAATTTTAATTCATGGAAAAAGTGTGTCAAATTTCACTTGAGTTTGAAATTATAGCTGTGTGATAAGCTCGAAGTATTGTGTTATTTAAGTAGGCCTCTCAGTTTTTCGAATTCACTGAATTTTCAAAATTTTTAAATTATGTATTTAATTTTCAATTTTTAGTTTTTTTTTGTATATTTTCGAATTTGTATTATTTTAGACAGTTGAAAGTCACATCAAGTTTGAATATTTTCACAGGTTCAGAAAACAGCGAAAATTCCAAAATTTTGAGATTTATAATATTATTAAATTTCTTGAGATTTCTTATTTTTAGGATAATTTCCAAAATTTCAAAAACTATCGAAATCCGGGAGATTCTAGAAATTTTGGTAAAATGAGAATATTTTGAAATGTACAAAATTATTGAGATTTTAGAAATGTTTATATTTTCCATAATTTTGAGAATTTTATTTATCCTAAAATCCATCCTAAAAAGTAAAAATGTGAAACATCACAATTTGTCGAAAAATTCTTATGTTCATGTACTCGTGTGTAAAAAAATAGAAAATTCTTAGAATTCTAAAAAATATTAACATTTTTGAAAAATTCCAAAATTGTTCCCCTTTTCTGAACTTTTCCAAAATTTTGTATTTATATAACAAAGTTTGAGAATTTTAAATTTTTTGAAAATTTTGAAAACATCAACGTCCAAAAATTTTTTGAATCTTCAAGAATTACGAACATTTTTTAAATTTTCAAAAACGACGAAATGTGAAAATGTTTTCAACATTCGAAAACTTTTAATTTCGTTTGATCAGTTTCGTATATTCGACACTTTTACTTAGAAAAAATTTGTTACAATTCCTACAGTTCTCAAAATTTTTCAAAAATAAAAAATTTCTAGAAATCTAGTAGTCATCATTATATTGAATTAATTGAATTATTGTGATTTTTCAAATTCACAAAGTTTTGAAAGTTTAGAAAATTTTGGAATTCCACTCAAGTTATTAAAAAGGGGAAACTTCAAGAAATTAGAAACTATCAAAACTCTAATGGCCTTATTCATAAAAAATAAAGTAGCTTTAAAAAACGTGTATAAATTGAAAAATGTATGAAAACGTCATTTTATAAAGCTCTTTAAACCTACTTTACTTTTTATGAATAAGGCCATAAGAATTTTAAATTGCGGTGATTTTTAAATTTATATACACGATATATGTTGAAAATTTAAATTTAAACTAATACTATATACTAAAAAAAGCTACACGCACGAGCCCGCACGTTAAGAATTTTAGTGGAGCCCGGCCCGGCACGACGGGACACGCCCCAGCCCGGAAATAAAGAGCCCACTTTTATTGTATGGATACATATACATACATATGTATGTACATGTTTTCAATTTTATGTTTATGTACATATGTATGTATGTATATTTACTTAAGCGAATCACTTTTTTACATCAAAGATATTTATAATATATTTTCTGGGAAGTAG